TAATTAATGCCAACTTTCCCATTAGAACCCAAGCACAACAATGCACAAATGATGAGAATCCGAGGCTTAGTTCTAGTTCAAGGGACCAACTATACAAGTTGCCGATTTTCTGAAGGCTATTCTATTCTATTCCATTTCTTTTTTCCTTTTATCTCAGTTTGCTAAGAACTCATCAACATACCAAAAAGGGTTTTTAGAGGGAATAAAGAAGATGAGGAAAAAAGAAAAGTGAGCCAAAAGAAAGTTTTTACACTTTGTGACTGGGGTGTTCACTTTCTGCTGATTCTTTAAGGATTTCACCATTATTTTGACCGAAAGAGCCATTCACTTCGGCATCAAAACTAGCATGCACACTGTATAAGACGTATACGAGCACCGCTAGAGCCGAAAAGAATCCGAATCGCACATAGGATGGTCCACCCAGAGACCCCATCAGAAATATGTTCAAGAAGATTGATATAGATGGTAGCCATGGCATGAAAGGGACACCCCAGAAGTCAGGTTTCCGCGCCTGTGGTACCATGCAACGAAATATCTCTAATATGGATATTGCGATTACAACACAAGTGGCTAGTACAAAGGCCTTGGGCTTCCCTGGCGGTGCAAAATGCCACAGTAGGGTGAAGATAATGGATGTGAGCGACAGTAAGCATAGGAAAGATAATGTAGACCATGGCTTCGTTGTGCCCACCACAACGTAACGCCTGTAGATTACTGCATTTGCTACCATGTAAAACACAAACAGTGTGCCAATGGATACAAGGTTCAAGAGGACGCTTAGATCAGTGAAAAGGGCAATTGCAGCTGTGAAGATTCCTGAAATGAAAAAGGGTGCGCACAAATGTAAGAAACTTGGCAGCTGGAATTGAATTAGCAACTTAATTATCAAGGTGAGATATGTTAACTACAAAAACACACCATAAAGATAATGCAAAGCTGATAAAGAAGCCAACGGGAAGATAACAACACACACGCAATTCAGATAACGAAAAGTCAAGAGATCCCGCTGAGTGTTATGTATGGAATTCCAAAGCAGTTTTTGGTTGTTGAACTGCCTATAAACCATATACATCCAAGTCATTAACCTTATCATTGTAGGGGAACTTTCAGTGGTGACCTTGTGAAGAAAGGTCGCTTTCAATCATGGGCTCCAACTCAAAGGGCTTTCACCTGCCACAATTATAGAAGGATGAACCAATATAGACCAGATTTCTCCATACATACGTACATACATACAGTGCATATCTTAAATAGCTTTAAAGCAAAATAGGATAGAGGTTGAGTGAAAAGGCAGTGCTGAATCAGTCAATAATGTCGATGATCGTGTAATCTCTCTCTCTCTCTCTCTCTCAATTCCAGTCACATGCCTGCCCTATGTAAAAATGAAATTTACTTTTGTCTTTTTTCGGTTTCCAATGCTTCCATGATTTTACTGGCAGAAACTCTTTGAAAAGGAAGATGAGGCCCAAGCCTTTGTTCATCTTAGAACATATATACCCCATCCAAAGAGTAATCTCTAGAAGGGGGTGAGCAGGTCTGGGTAGGAATGGCAAAAGGGGGCTGATGCATGGCATGGAACTCCCCATGTGTCAAAGCAGCATGAGCTGGCAACAAGTATGGGACAGCCACAAAACGAAACGGTCCTCAGCGGCGAACTTGAGCAATTTAAGATGAAAGGAAACGGTTCAAAGTGGGTCCCTTTGCAACGGCCAAACTCCAGATGAACAACTTAGAACCACCACAAAAACCAATGTCCATAAATGAAAAACACGCACATAGAGCCCAATGAACCCTTATCGATCGCAGTTCAAGCCATTATTAATCGAATAAATAGTTCAACATATATATATATATATATATGT